TGACTTCATGTGATCTGCCTGCCTCAGCCTCCCAAAGTGCTGGGATTACAGGCATGAGCCACCATGCCTGGCTGCTTTTGTGTATTCTTTAGAAAACACTTTTGGTATAAGCATAGTATATTTTATTTAACTGTGTGACTTTTAGTGAGATTTATATGGTCATTTTTTTCTTACTTTTGTTTAGGAAGTTTATCGGAATTCTATGCCAGCTTCGAGTTTTCAGCAGCAGAAACTTCGAGTCTGTGAAGTCTGCTCTGCCTATTTAGGACTTCATGATAATGACAGAAGACTGGCTGATCATTTTGGGGGTAAACTGCACCTGGGATTTATTGAAATAAGAGAGAAGCTTGAAGAATTAAAGGTATATTGGTAAAATAGTCCTCACTTTATCCTCCTTACCCTCTTGTTCTTTTGATCTGTATTATCTTTTTGTTTAATATTCTTGACTGTCGTTCGGTAATATATAGTATCTAATGATTAATACTGAACAATGTAGGATTATAGATGAAATTCAAGTTGGTTTAATGGATGCTGTCTGAGGAGCAGACTTTTAAATATTATCCTGCTATTTTGGGAGTTACCGTTTTATGTTAGCTGTGACACTGAGTTAGGAATCTTTCAAACTAGTTTCTAATACAGAGTCCCATAAAATTTCATTGTTCTCATTCTTTTCAATAAGGTCAATAATGTAATTTTTTTTTTTTTTTTTTTTTTTGAGACAGAGTGTCTTTCTGTCGCCCAGGCTGGAGTGTAATGGTGCAATCTTGGCTCACTGCAACCTCCACCTCCTGGGTTAAAGCAGTTCTCATGCCTCAGCATCCCAAGTTGCTACGATTACAGGCACATGCCACCATGCCTGGCTAATTTTTGTATTTTTAGTAGAGATGGGGCTTTATCATATTGGCCAGGCTGGCCTCAAACTCCTGACCTTGTGATCTGCCTGCCTTGATCTCCCAAAGTGCTGGGATTATAGCCGTCAGCCACCACCCCTGGCCAAAAAGAATCTATATATTTTTAAAAAGGACAATTATATTAAATATGTCGGCTTCTGAAGTTAGAAGCCAACACATTTTTTAGTCTAAAGTTATTTAGAGGGGATAAACAAAAAATCATGATGATATTTCTGAAGTGGTAAAGATGAGTATTGGTTGATATAATCTATTTACCTTTTAATATGCTGATAGCTTTTAAAGAATTGTGGCATTATAGTGTTTTTTCATGAATTGAAGACTGGCTGATGGGAAACCTGGGATAGTCATTTTCTATGTAACTGTTATCACTGGAATTAACTCAAGGTCCATAGCATTTAAAATAACGTAAAATCAGAAAATGCCTAGGGACATCTCCATATTCACAGGTAACAATGGGCTCTTTGTGGTATTCTGGGTAGCTGGGGTGATCTCAAGTAATTTTTTAAAACTTGTTGAAATGATCACTATAGCAAATAGTTATTGGGCTCCAAGTTAAAGCTCCAGTGGTTCCTACTTGGAAATCTTTGCATGTATAGACCTAGCAACAGAACTCTAGCATTTTTTTCATATCTTTAAAAGCAGCAGCATCAGGATGGTAATTGGAAGTGACCTAAGACATTTCCATATTAGAAATCACAGGGCATAACTTGTAGTGATTTATAATGGTTGATTAAAAAAAAAATACAACATAATACTGGAAAACATTCAGAGGAGGAAAATCTTGTAGAAATGACTTGGAAATGTCATTAAGAAATCGTGGGGAAAAAAATAAATAAAAACAAAACAAACAAAAAAAGAAATCCTGGAGCTGGACATGGTGGCTCATGCCTGTAATCCCAGCACTTTGGGAGGCCAAGGCAGTCGGATCACTTGAGGTCAGGAGTTGGAGACCAGTCTGAGCAACATTGTGAAACCCCATCTCCACTAAAAAATATCAATACAAAACTTAGCTGGGTGTGGTGATGCATGCCTGTAATCCCAGCTCCTCCGAGGGCTGAGGCATGAGAATCGTTTGAACCTGGCAGGTGGAGGTTGCAGTGAGCTGAGATAGTGCTACTGCACTCCAGTCTGGGCAACAGAGTGAGACTGTGTCTCTAAAAAAATAATAATAAAATTATAGAGAGGCCTGAGTGGCTCATACCTGTAATTCTAGCACTTTAGGAGGCTGCAGTAGGATGATCACTTGAGCCCAGGAGTTGGAGACTGACTCGCTGTTTGAGCAACATAGCGATATTCTGTCTCTATTTTTTTTTTTTTTTTTTTCTATTTTTTTTTTTTTTTTTTTTTTTTTTTTTTTTTTTTTTTTTTTTTTTTTTTTTTTTTTTTTTTTGAGACGGAGTTTCACTCTTGTTACCCAGGCTGGAGTGCAATGGCACGATCTCGGCTCACCGCAACCTCCGCCTCCTGGGTTCAGGCAATTCTCCTGCCTCAACCTCCTAAGTAGCTGGGATTACAGGCACGCACCACCATGCCCAGCTAATTTTTTGTATTTTTAGTAGAGACGGGGTTTCACCATGTTGACCAGGATGGTCTCGATCTCTTGACCTCGTGATCCACCCGCCTCGGCCTCCCAAAGTGCTGGGATTACAGGCTTGAGCCACCGCGCCCGGCCCTATTCTGTCTCTATTTTAAAATAATGTTTTCATTTAAAAATTTTAAAAACACAAGCAGAAATAATGGAGAAATGTGAATTTTGCACATTTTCCACAAAATGGGGAAAGATTTTGAAAAGCAACTTATAAGCCTAATGATTATATCTGGCAGTACTTCAAATTGAATTATTAAATAGACTTTGACAGTAAATGTACTATAAGAAACCAGATATTGTACATTTTAGGGTGAAGTTAAGAATGGCCTCAGTAAATATGCTCCTCATTTATTATTGTCATTTTTAAGAGAGTTGTAGCTGAGAAGCAGGAGAAAAGAAACCAGGAACGGCTGAAACGAAGAGAAGAAAGGGAGAGAGAAGAAAGAGAGAAGCTGAGGAGGTATGGAGTAAAGGGCCGAGTAATTGAAGTTGAATCTCTGTGGTTCTAAAAAGAGATAATTGATTTTAAATTTTAGAGGGGGATAAATCTGTTATGGGAGATGGGAAACTTCTGCTTACTTTAAAAAATATTGCTGTGCAAATTATGTAAATGTTTAATTATACAAATATCTTAACTCTTGGCCATTTAACTGAATGTGATTTCTTCTAAAAATCTGTGGAAGAGCGCATAAAGAACGCTTCATATCTTGTAAGATATATAACAATCTTTTTCTACTCCTTTGATTTTTCATGTTGGTCTAGACTTGTACCAGGTTAGCACAGAATTATTTTTGTTTTTATGATGTATTTTGTTAAAAGGTTTGAGGGGGGATTGTTTCATTGAAGGGATTTTTTAAATTTCCTCAATTCTGGGAGCTATAAACTATTAAAAAGTTAAGTAATAATACCTAATTGTGTATAATTTTTCTTACATTGGTATTCATTTATTGATAAAATCTTATAATTCTTAGTATTTGGAATGTCTAAACATTCTTTTGAGTCACTTTTACCCATTGGCAACTAAAATCACATAGCATCATGGTGGCAACATTATTTTGTAATT